TTTGGTCTGGGCCCGAGGTGGGCTTAATAGCCGGCGACTACTGTATCTTGATCGAACTTTCGTCTTGAGACATATATGGTGTCAAACTAACAGAAAGCGTATCCTTCCTAGTCTATTTCGTACACTGAATGCTACTGTGTATGACAGACAACCGGTGGCGGCAGGTTTGCACAACCGTGCTGATTATAGTGCGCTTGCTTTGTGTTAGTAAGAAAGACGTATTTTACTAATTACAGAGCTAATACTGAAACTGAAATAACTTGACAGTGAAATACCTCTCACAGATACAACTGGGGAGGCCTTGACGTTATTTGTCAGAAGAATTCGCTTGGCTGTACAAGGTCCCCATGTCCTAGCCTTTACGTAAGAAACGTCCTTTACTTGTATATGTGTTCAAGCAGAAGACCATCAGTTAAAAGTTCACCGAACAATCAATTTGCAAGAAAAAGGACTAGCAGTCATCATAGCTTTGTGCCGGAATACTGTTCAAAAATCAGGCGAAAATTCCTTTCTATGAATACTGATCTAAGTTAACAGCCACTTCGGGCAATTCTTAGAGGCCAATCTGCCTGACCGATAGAAGCCCGGAAGCCCACAGCCGCGGGAAGCAACACATGTAGTCATTTACAGAATAGAATGCAGCTACGGACAAAGCAACCCCTTCAGAGCAACTAGGATGTTCTATCAAACTGTGAAGAGCAGGTAGATCACAATTCGTACAAGAGGTGAAAGCCGCGTCAACTGCCAAATGCTATATATGTTATTCTTCAGTTTGTAGTCAATTAACAAGTGCAATGAACCCCTCTACGTGGGGCGTGCGTGGACGATAAATGATTCCAATGAAAGCAGGCAAAATTGTCCAGTAATCATCACCCCAATAGTCTACATAAAGGATGAAATCACAACTAATGACGACTCAGACGCGGGCTAACGAGAGATCATCGCATCATTTACGACCCCTGCGATGAACACGAGAGCCGTTTAGAAGATTAGCAGCGTAGTCCCATACAAACTGCGTACTCTTCACAACCCACCAATCTTATCTGCGATTATCTCAGATTCTGGATCGAATGGGAATCCGAAAAGTCAAGCAATAAATGTTTTATTCCAAAATTCCTCGACTGAATAGGCTAAGATTTGTAGATTTCCAATAAGTTCCTTTCAACATACTTTCTGCATTCGCCCGTAAAAATCTTGATTTAAAACGCTTTCATTGTGACCTATTGACTAGCGTTAAGCTGTTCGCTATCCGGTAAGAAACACTGTTGTCACCTCCTCTAAAATAGGATTGCGTTGGCTATATATTTTTGATAGGATTTTTTATCTAAGATCATGTTTTGCTCGCCGGAATGAGTACGTTGTTGAGCAAAACATGATCTACGATTCTTATCCTGGAATTCGGACTTTTGCAAACTTGAGTAAATTTTTATCTGTCCAGGTCCCATTTTTCTTTTGTGTATTCACCCCCCATTTGTCAGGAAAGAAGACAAAAGAAACATGATAAGCCATCCGGTGTTGCACTATGTGGTTTTTTTTAGCATTATTTTACAAAAATGTGGGATTGTGGCCCGGAAAACATAATCTCGAAAAGAAGCATATGCAATCGTGGGAAAAGAATTATATTCGCCTGTTTCGGATTCCATCGCGGATCTACCATTAGAAACATTATCAGACCAGTTTATGCTAATGCCTCTGATGATGGATCCGTGATGGAATCCGCAACTGCAGGTGAATAGACTTCTTGTCCCAGCGATCGAATCTGCTTTTTTTAATTACTTTCTAGAACCGGTATTTCCGCTTGTATTGGACATAGTCTTCTCTGCCAACACATTAGACACTAGGGCCACTCGAAATACTGTTTGACATCTGAACGTGTTTTTTTCTCACTACTCGCTTTCAACAAGTCATTACTTCTTAAAGTTACTTAAAAGTTAATGACTTACAGAAAGGATCTTCCCGACGTCGTCTTAGTAAAACTGGGATTGTTTTGTTATTTTTTTCCTATGCACAATATACATTAATTTTGTAAAACGCAATGTTTTAAGACTAAAAGCAATATATTTAAACATTTCTGAGTATTGTTAACGCGCATTTGATGTATGGGTATCGAACATTTACTAAAGGTTAGAACTAATTTGATTTGACCCGTTCTCTTTTTCCGTGAGACTGCTCCATGAATCCAAAACGTGGGGCGGGAAATTTCAAACAGAAGTAGTTGGCACAGCTACTCACCATTCTATCGGCTGTCTGAAGCCGCAGGGACTCTTTTGAGTCCTGTACACTATTACCAGGTGCGTAGGGGTCGTACGTCCCGAATAGATTAGCTGTTCCCACAATCCAGGCACCGTCAACTGCTGAGCATCGATCCACTGATCCTGACATAAGTGTCATTGGCGTTGTCTCATCACGTTCTGGGGATATAGTCTGACCACGTCCCATTGTTTGTATCAAAAGGGAGGGGCTGGGATGGTAACTGAATTTGCCGCCGTTGTTAGACTTTGGAGTCTGATTAATAGTATGGTCGTATATGTTAACGCCGCGGCCGACAGAATGGTGATGGTTTTGCTGACTCTTGTTGAAGGGCCGTACCATACAGAGAATCGCGCTGATGAGAAGGGCAGCCAAGAATGCCGACACCGTTGACAGGACGATGACAATCACGATGTTCTTCGCCTCCAGTTGTGAGGAACTTCTGGTGTACATACCGATTTGTTCTCTGGCATTACCTTGCCAGTCACCTCGAGCGCTTACATCCTCAAGGACGATTCTGATCAGCTGAAAGTAAAGAGCGGCATACATTGTTAAGAAGATAAACAATTTACTGAGCGAACGCTCCGATTCAAAATATGCAAAACATCGCCTGTTTTTTCCGAAATTTATTATCAACTACGCTAAAAAGGGCTGACAAAGAATATGTCGTTTAAGAGCTAGCTGTTCTATTTTACCATCTTCCTAGCTCAAAACGGCGATCGGATCACGTATGATTTGGGAAATTTTGAGTTTATAATGTGAGTAGCCCTCTTCGGTCAGCACTGTCAGCCGCAAACTCACTATCTTTTCTCTTTATTACAAATTGAGGCATAATAAAGGACGTGGCACGAACGCAGACATAAAAGTCATAATTTCGATGACTTGGAAATTGCAAACGCCATTTTTCTGACTGAACTACACATTTTTATGAATTTATATGACCTGCTAATAATCATATAAGCGGTAATTCCCTTTTAACCTGCTCTGTTAAAACAAATGTTGTAATGCAGAAATTTGGAGAGAAATGTGGAGAAATAAAACTAGTATTTTGTTCGGGCTTCAACTGTACTATATACACACAAAATTTTGTCCAGCAAAGGCACCTAAGACGAGCAAAACCCTAAATAAACAGAACCAGATAGGGTCTGGTGCTGCCTCTGATGATGCGCTCTGGCATGAATCCGAAACGTCAGGCTATATTATTCTTGCTCCAGAGATTTTCTCAACTTCTTATTCATGTAATTTTTTCCTACAAAAAGTACAAAATTTCAGTCCACTATCGCACTTAAGGTATTAGATGTAAATCCAACAGTTGGGAACAATCGTGCGTTTTGTTTCAATTAAATTCTTAATTGTTTACTTATTTTTCGGCCCATGGTAAGTTGCCCCTAACTCGTGCAAAGTAATTTTCCCATACTGCTAATGTTGCGGAGCTATTTTAATGAAAGACAACAGTTAGGAATACATAACTTTATAATTTTAGATTTCAGTAAGCTAGGAATTGAAACATTTGGACTGCAATTGATTCTTCTAAATGGAAGTAGGAAAAATTAATTTTCCCTGCCTTAAGATGAATCTGCAATTCCTTCGTAAGAAGCTTCCTGTTGTCCTGCTAATTTTAATTCCGTTCATGAAATGGCTCTGAAACCCTAAACAATGCCAGCCGGAATTCATGGTTGTTAAAAGAACAAAGAAATACAAATGAAGGTGCGACTTAAATGGGTTAGGTGGATGCCAAAGCGTAGGCTCTGATAATGTTTTCTGAAAAGTGTAATGTAACCAGAATGAAAGATATTTTGACGGACGTTTTCCTTAAGTTTTCCTTACGTTTTCAAGCATATGCTACATGTTAGGGCGCAGAACATTTTAGTGAAGTTTTTGCTGTAAGCTCCATACAATTCACTCTTCATTACTGTAAGCAGATAGCAAACGTCAGTTCAACACAGATAAATTAAAACCACTTGATTCCGGGTTTAGCTATTTTCTAAAGAAGTCAATAAACATGCTCACCGTCGGCCTGCTTTATGCACCCATTCAAAGACATACAAATGTCTATGCCATAATCTTCCACGACTATTTACACGTCTCACAGCGCTTACTATTTGAGCCCAATTCATCTACCGATTCTAATTTTCGGACTACATTACATACAGCTATGGGGGGAAAATTTCCAGTTCTGTCAAAATAAAGACCACTGACCATGCACAAAATCGGGAAAATGAAGGCTGAAGGACTTGAGCAAAATACAAAATTTTAGAATGTCCACAAAATTTACTAAGAATATTTTGAATGAATTTTACTCTAAAAGATTTATAGCCAAACATGACATTATATTCAGCAGATGAAGTAAGTAGCATAGCTACATCTATACTGCTATAATAAATAAACCTTTCTGTCTTTATTTGCATTCTTTTCCTCTAGTGTTTTCCGCATCTTATTTTGGCAAATTGCTTAAAATAATTTATTCTAGCAGACAGCTTTTTCGTTTTCGTTTAAATGGCCGGCTATTATCCTGATTTATTTTTCGGTCACCTTACCCAGGTTCTAACAGTTATTTTGGTTTTCTTTTTCCCTCAAAATCCTAAGTCTTTTCCCTCAGTCTTTCAAGTTGCCACTCAAATTTCCGATAATTTGAAACGGAATGGGGAAGTTTCATTCTCTCTGAGTATCATTATTTCCAAAAAATACTTCCTTTAAATGAAGACGGTCCGCTGACGCACTGGGATCCATAACGTTCACTTTGTCCGGGGTTCCAATTTTCTTTCTCAAAGAATGCTTTGGTTGGGTTTTTATAAAGCAAGACGTTTATCGATCTTCTTAAACTTCATCTTCACTTTTGCCAGTGAACCTGTGTGCAGTCATTCATTGCCCTCTAAAATTATCCCCATATTTATGACAATATTTTCAATTATTTCCGCGCACACATAGATAACATATATTTTGTGCATTGTGGAATGATGATGTGAAAACCAGGACTAGATTATGAAGTGTCTTTGGCGGAGGATGGTAGCTAAAAATTCCCCTTTGCTGAGTCTGCGAAAATAAGTGGGTGGCGTTGAACTCCTTTTGCACAACTCTCCACTTTCTGAATTGCCTACACTTAAGCGCGCACCGTCAACATTAGTCGATTCAAACAACCTCCCTCAATCGCTCATTTTAAGTGGTTCGGTTGAACGTAGCAATAGAAGTGCGGACACTTCCTTTGGCAAATGTTTCCCTTAATCAGCACACGTCGCCCTTGTCAGTAGCTTGTTCGGTCTTTTAACTGCGCGAAACTTGTCCATGCACGTTGTGCTTTTATATAATTGAAAATTTTGAAGAGTCAAAAGGTGGATCTCGGAGAGATAAATTACTCCTCTGCAGAAGAATAATTAAAACTACGCGGACGAAGGATGCATCACCGCCTACATGTCAGTATTTTGGATATTTTCCAGGTTGCTGGCCCACGAGTTCCTTTGCTGACATTGGTTATTTATAGACTAGTGATTTCCTCAATAAACGCTGGAGTTATTTGCAGGCTAGGTGCAAATATAGACGAATACGTAGCAGTGGGCTATGTCAGTTTCCCCTTAAAGACCGATCTTAACAGCAAAAGCTAAAACTACAGAAATGAACCTGTTTATTACATTCACAAATCACAGCAGATGGAAAAACGTAATTCCTACAGACATAACCTTGTTGATTGCAGTACACAGTGTGAAGTGATGGTTTACACACCAGAGCAATTTATTTTGAATTTATACCTTAGCTTCTCCCACCTTGTAACAAATGTGAAGCTGACAAAAATTAGAAAACAAATCAAAAATGCCATACCTCTCACTCCATTTTTGTCCTCAGCCGCGAACCTTATAAATTGGACCTGCATCCTTTTAGTATATACAGAAGCCAAACGTTCATTTACACTTTGTAAATAAATTTCTCGATTGTGTGTTCAGGTGTTAACATGACAAAAACTGGGAGGCTAAATTGAAAGCCAACTGTGTAGGATGCACTACGGACTAGCCACTAGAGGTGGCACGCCTGCAACAGTGCACATTTGATAACTTCTAACATATCAAGACAGTAGTGAGAAAATTCCAACTATAATATTATTCTGAAGGGCTGTTTCACAGACTCTGTTAGTATGCCACTGAGCATAAAGTGAACGGTGGACTCCCAAACACTGACCCAGGGCTAGAGAAATCTAATGTTTGTAAAATAAGATATGCACACCTCAAAAAGTAAGGCGGCGTCCAAACCTTTATTTTAAAATGTCTTTCATGGATTCACATCAACCCGTCATTAGTTTAATTTTAAAGGTAATAATGTCCCATTTGAATTGGCCACGCTTACGAAATACTTTCAAATTTGTTTTCCTTATCTTCTTCTGTCCATCCTCTAACAATATGCGAATGACCGTATGATAGTAGGCTTTGTGAATGTTATTTGAATCCCCCTCAATAATTTGAAGGGGAATTATACGTTATACCAATCTGCTAAGTTCTAGCATGTAATCAGGGAGAGCTCTAATCTGAAAATATTCCGATCCCGTTTGTGAGTCTCAAAACACGTTAATGCCCACCGAAACGAGTTTTTGTCTTCGCTGACGTTTTAGCGAGCTGGAACAGCTCTCCTTCGTCAAGGCGTAGATTGCCACTATCGATCAGCAATTTTATTGTGTGGCTGTACATGTTGACCGTGAGTTGATCTATTTTTTCGTTCTATTCTTTGCCCCTCGTATGGATGTTGACATAAGTTGTCGGCAGTTGGTGTTGTGCTTCGTTTCCACGGTGCAGAGTGCTAGTAATCCTCCAACATGGAGACGAAACACAGCACCAAATGCTCCCAACCTATGTCAACATCCATACGAGGGGCAAAGAAGCGAAGATGAAAAGGGCTGATCAGCCCCACATTCAAATTGCTGATCGATAGTGTAGTTTAGCTTTAACAAAGGAGAGCCGGCCTAGCTCTCCGAAACGTCAGCGTGGACGAAAAGTCATTCTGATGAGGATTAACATGATCTCTGATTCCCATCCTAGAATTCTCACTCTTACACGCTTTAAATCCCGTTTGATCAGGGAGTTTTACTGTGCAATTAAATTGGAGAGTTAAAGCCTGCAGTTTTGAAAAATATCGGCTTGCCTTTGCTACCAAGCAGAGCGCATGCTTGAATTAGAATTACTCCCTAGAGAAATTAGAATTAGAATCACTCCCTACTATGAATGTCGTGGGAATTTTCAAAAGTTGCCTTTGTGGCAACAGGCTTAGTCTGTGCAAAATAAAAAAAACTTAAACGAATTCTCAGAACGATTAGTGTGATAAAGATACGAAATCCAGCATTGGGTTTAGAGGCAAAGTAAGTAGTTTACATGCACTTTTTAATCGGTGGAAAGAGAAACTTCACTAAATACTGGAAAAAATATTGTCCCTAAGAAACGATGTGCACGCAAGCTACGCCTGCATCGTCAGAGTAAGTATCCTCCAAGCCGCTTTGGCGGTACAGACTATTGGAGTAGACTAAAGAGCTACGTAGTTTGCTTCCTAGCCACAGGGCAGCTCCTATTATATTC